CCCCCCGCGCGCATGCAGACATACAAGTTGTACAAAGTCAATCTACGCTGGGGTTATATAACTGACACTATCTCTCTTCGTGTTTCTCCCCCCGCGCGCATGCAGACATACATGTGAATGATGTACAAAGTCAATCCACGCTCGGGTTTTACAGGGTGCGAAATTAACGTGAGTCCGGAGTCAAATACTCTCTGATTTACTGCCGGACTCCCTGATTTGACATATGCAGGAGTCCGTGTGACTTCCTGAAAATTCTGCCATACTAACTAATTCATTCCAAAGCACGGCCTCGTGGAATTACCGTATTTTTTCAGCAAATGTCCAAAGAAAATTTGGCAGACGTGCAACCGCATGAATCTTCAAAATAAGCACATGCGTTGTTAATATCTTTAATTTTGAACTTCAGACTGCGGACACCCTCATTTTGCCGCGGATTCCCTCTTTTTGAAGGGACGGAGTTCGTTGGACAATTGTTCAAAAGTTCTACCCCTGGTTTTATAACTGACACTATCTTTGTGTTTCTCCCCCCGCACGCGTGTGCAGACGTACAGGTGCGAGATGACACAGGGTGACGAGTTTCACGAGCTGGTGACGAGCTACCTGAGCGTGCGCGCGCGCCTGCGGGCCGCGGAGAAGGACCTCACCTGCCTGGAGCAGAAGCAGCAGAGATGCCTGTCCCTCGTGTGGACCTCAACCGAATACTCCATGCCACTCAAGGTAGGCTCGCCGTGTGTGTGCGCGTGTGCGTGCGTGTGTGCGCATGTGTGAGTGTGTGAGGGGAGGGTGTGTGTGCGCGTGTGCGTGCGTGCGTGCGTGCGTGCGTGCGTGTTTGTGTGCGTGTGCGAGTGTGAGTGTGTGTGTGCAGATGGCGCCACCAACTGGTTATATACTAGTGTGCATGTTTCACGATTGTGTATTGGCCACCATGAATATGCTAACTGTAAATGTAGGTGTAAATTAATGTAGATCATCAGATAGCGTTTAGAATGGCGTGTAAGCATTAGCACTCTTAAGGTATAAACCTACTTTTAGAACAAAGCCCCTGAACAAGACATTGGAACAAGACAAAATCTCGATACATTCGATAAGTTAATCGAGCTTTCATTGGCTGAGCACCATTTATTTTGCTCACCAGGTGGCGGTACGTGATCACTTTGCTTTATTATGGAGTTTGTTGTGGTTCGGTAGTACAGGCTTAGAGATTGTAAGCATTTCTATTTAAATAAGAATATGATGGAATCTGCTGCGGATTTACTGTGTGGTGCCTCTGGAGATCCGAAAGAGGATGTTAATGTAATTAACAGCATCATTCCTCGTTAACGCTTAATGATGCACAAGCAGATGTTTTCTTCTTCTTCGAATTTTACGGTGAAAACAATTCACTTAAAATTGGAATTAACGCTCGCTTGCGATGAAATAGAAAGAAGAGCGAGTGAGACTAGTAGGTGTGTGTTAGTATGTAAGTTAATCCAAGAGCTCCGGTAAAATTCCAGGTTCGATTTCTCGTCCCTCCCCCCATTCCGAAGATCCGCGCAGGCGAATATGTTATTTATGAAGGAAGTAAGAGGGAAAAAACCTATCAGAAAGAGTCTTATGGGATGAAGGCGAATATTGCATTACTCGGGGATTCAGAGAAACAAACGCTGATTGCGTGAAATCACGTACTGTCAGGCTGAATTACGTCTGTTGTGTGTGTGTGTGTGTGTGTGTGTGTGTGTGTGCGTGGCGTGGTCGTGCGTGCGTGCCGTTGCGTGCTGTGCGTGCGTGCGTGCGTGTCGATGCGTGCGTGCGTCGTGCGTGCGTGTGTGTGTGTGGTGTGTTGTGTGTGTCACTGGGTGTGTGTGTGTGTGGCGTGAGTGTGCGTGTGTGCTGTGTTGTGAGTGTGTGAGTGTGTTGATGTATGTGTGTGTGTGTGTTGTGTGTGTGTGTGGTGTGTGTGTGTGTAGTGCGTGTAATTCGTGCGTGCCGTTGCGTGCGTGCGTGTATCGCGGTGGTTGTATAGATGCGTGCGTGCGTGCGTGGATGTGTGTGTATGCGTGTATATTTCGTGGTGGTGATGCGTGGTTGTCCTAGATGCGTGCCGGTGCGTGCGTGATGTGTGTGGTGCGCGTGCAGTCACATCAAATAAACACCCCGAGTGTAGAAATCATTATAGTGGTCTCGGGGGGCAAATCTCTGCTGATTCTGACATTCTATCAAACTACGAAAGCTAGTAGCTACGAGTCCGAGTGTATAGACCTTAGCGGACGAAG